CTTAAGAGCAACAGACACTGTGAGCCCCTTGCTCTCAGTATCCTGTGCCAAGACCCAATAAGTCGAATCCAGATTCTCATACAGTGTTTCCTTTTCTCTGAGAGTGATCTTTGAAAGTTTGATCTCCTCATCAGTCATGTTTCGGAGGGCTACTTTCACCCTCATTTCTTCGGTCCACTTGTACAGGTCCTCAACATCAGTAACAAGAGTCTTGGTCACACCTAATTTGGTTTCTATCAAGTTCTTGTACTCTGGTAAGGTCTTTGCCACCTATTGTAAGAAAAAATATTACAAATACTTTTTGCACTTATAAGTTATGATAGAAATGATATTCAAAATGGATAGTGAGCCACTATTAAATTGGATATATATGATAGACTGTGATAAAAGCATATAAAGATAAAAAATATCTTATACCATGCATAAAATTTGCCCCTCCTATCCCTCTCACATTTACCAATAGAAAATAGAAAATTTGCAAGTTCATGATGTCCTGAATAGGGAGTACAGTTAAACACAATGACAAAAATACAAATGTTTCTGACCTTATTCAGATTAGTTTCTAGAGTTGTTAGCTGGGCTGGTGTAACAGCTTTAGGCTTGGAATCTTTCAGTTTCTTTAGCAGATTTTGTTTTGTAGTCATTTCCACAAAATGGTTCTGCAAATAAATTTGAACAAAATTAGGGATCACATGAAGAACATGTTAAGATAAATTTGTATAATTCCTGTTATAAATTGTATCATGTATGGAATTCTGTATTGCTAACAGGTCTATATTAATGTTATTAATGATACATCTTCTATCTAAGCATACATATAACACTAGTTAATACAGCAATGAAGCAGTATGATGAAAACAATCAAACTGAATACAGGCCATAAAGGATTTTTTTCCCTTTTTTAACTAGTACAAAAGACTCACCTGAATCATAGTGGAATGTGCAGAGAGAGTTGCTTCATCAGTGACATTTACTGGTGCATCCATAAGTGCTTGGGCCTGGTCAACCCATACTAACAAGGCTTCATATTCTGAGCTTGTGCTGTCTTTGCCACCTTCCTCTCCAGCAATTCTACATACACACACACACACAAAAAAATAGTAATAAAAATAATAATTCAGTTTTATAACTACAATTTCTTAGATATCCAAATACAAAATATTTTGAAAAATCTATTCTCAGCTTGTGCTGTCTTTGCTACCTTCCTCTCCAGCAATTCTGGAGAGGAAGATGTAATAAAAATAATAATTCACATAATAACTATAACTTCTTATATATCAAAATACAAAATATTTTGAAAAACTTAGGCAAAGCCATACTCTTTACCTTTCTCGCCGAGCAGCAAGATCCAGCAACAGAGCACGCCAGCGCTTCATAAGGGTGTCCACACGTTCCTGCAGACGTTTAGCATCATCAAGACTCATGTCCTCAGTCACTTCCTTGCAGGTTGACTGAAGAGTCTGGCTTGGCCTTTCCGGAAGAAGAAGTCAGTTACATACTTAATACTTGATGTAAATTTTAAAATTTAATATCAAACTAAGCACCCAACTGATATAAATTATTCAGGAAAGAGGTGCACCCAAAACTACCTACCGGTGTTTTAATGTAACTTGCTTTTCAAGTTCCTTTTGGGTAATCTTAGCTTCTGGTAGAGGTTGGTTGGCAGTGATTTGGACTCTTTCCTCAATGGTACTCAGCCACACAGAAAAATCATCAATAGTCTTCTGAAGAGTGCGCCATGTCTCGGAACACTGCAGCCACAAAGCATGTCTTTCTGTGTAGCCTCTGTTCACCTACAGTCAAGAGATGTAAAAATGAATGGAGATGTGGCTTAGCCAAAAGTCATTACATTAATGCCAAAGCTTCACTGAGTAAAATTTAATCATCAGTACATTTACCTGAGCCCATTCCTCTCTCAGCTTGTCCATTACTCGTCGTATTTGCTCAGACTGAGTTTGAGTTACATTCTTTATGGTATTATTACGCTCTGTTTCAAGATTATCAACCCTTGGCTTCAGAGTCTCCAAACCTTGCTTTATTGTCTGTAATAAAGGATTAAGAACAAGATTCAGTCATACCATCATATATATCACTTAATACATATCAAGTTACTATTGAGTATCAACATCATATCAGGAAAATTTCAATTCTTAATTAAATCAAATCAAAATAAAATGAAATTCAAATACTTTAAGTTCCTCTTCTTGAAGTTTTAGGTTGTCATAACGCCGACCAGCAAGTTTATTGGCATTCAGCTGCCGGGATATTGCTGAAATTGCTTCCCTCAAGCGATTGACGCTTGCAATAAAATCAGGTACTACTACTGGTTCCACTTCCTGGACAGGGTAAAACATATTTTTCATTTATATTGCTTTTACCTTTCTGTTATTTTGTGTACATATATTGTTTTCACCTCTTTGCTTTTATTTTGTCTAAAAAATAAAAGCATTTCTTGTATTATCTGGAGTTCATAGAGCTTATGCAGACTACATGAAAAATA